TCTGCAAACTGCTCACTCGCGGCAACCCGACTCCCCTTCCTTTCCTACAACCTCCACATCCATTTCGTAGCATCAGCCGTTGGCGGCATCGCCACAGAAGACGTTCTCAATCATTGCATTTGCATTGCTCGTTGCTCGGTCTCTCTTTCGTTATCCCCATATCATAAAACATTCGCCATTGCACTGCGGGATACGCATCGTTGTCCCCCGAACACTACCAACATGCAGTCTGCGTTTGCCTCTCCGCACCCTGGCTCTGGTCATCCAGGCCAGCATGCTCACGGCAGCGGCATGGAAACAAGCTCCCTACCTGCAACGAGCCAGAGCCGCGGAATCGCGGGCAGAATCCACAGCAGACTATATCGCGTCTCAAAGCATCGTAGTACGAGCAGACTCGGCCACTGCCAGCGAAAAGCGAGCCATACACTGACAGGCACAGGTCCGAGCTCGCTGATACCATCCCCTGCTTCGTCTCTCAAAGGGTTGGTCAGGCAGAATTCTTGGTTCTCTGCTCTGCAGCCCAAAAGCCTTCCGGAATTCGCTCGTCATCTCGTCGGTGCTCGTGTAACAGGACAGGCTTCGACCGACGGCGATAGCAGCTCGTCGCCGAGTGTCATCCGGTCCTCGCCCAACGACACGCAAGCTTCCACACGCCAAACCTCCATTGGCTCGAGCCTGCGCCGCACTTCCCAGTTCGATCGAACGGGCCAGCGTGCACAGTTCGTCATGGACGTCATCAGGTAGAACCATATGAACCCTGGCGTAGAGGTCCCCGTGTTGTTCTATCCCCAGGACGTCAAGGTTCGGGCAATGGAGAAGGCGGCCACTGCCAAGGCTCACTTCGAGACGTACTACAACGACTTGTTGCAGGATGGTCCATCACCTCGCTCCGCAAGGCTTGATGGCATAAGGTCCGTCCTAGATAGCAACCCCATGGTACTACCTGAAGACAGGAAGGAGCTCGAAACCGCATTTTTTCAACAGGAAACCCATCATCTGCGGCAGTCCAGGGTTTTGAAGTGGGAAAGTCTTCGCGCTGCTAATTGCCTTGTCGATAACGGCCAAGGACCATGCGTGAAGAACTACTCGACGCTCAAGAACTTGGGCAAGGGCAGCTTTGGCGTTGTACGCCTGGTTCGGGAAAAAGGTGATGGAGACCTCCAGAGTGGTCAACGGCGCCAGAAGAATGTGTACGCCATGAAGGTCATCAGAAAGACAGACATGATCCGCAGTTCACAGGAAGGCCACCTACGTGCCGAGCGGGACTTCCTTATTGCGTCCGAAACCTCCGAATGGTGAGGCAGCCCAGAATCAGCGCTGTTGGTGAACCGTTTCGGACGTGCTGATATTTTGCAGGATAGTCCAGCTGATATCCAGCTTTCAGGATGCTACGAATCTCTATCTCGTCATGGAGTACATGCCAGGAGGCGACTTTCTTGGTCTTCTCATCCGTGAGAACATCCTAGAGGAGCATGTCGCCCGCCATTACGTCGCTGAGATGGTGGTTTGCGTGGGAGGAGGCCCATCGTCTGGGCTTCATACATCGTGATGTCAAGCCTGACAACTTTCTCATTGATGCCCATGGGCACCTGAAAATTTCGGATTTTGGACTGGCTTTTGACGGTCGATGGCAACATGACACGGCTTACTACCTCTGGCAACGCGACGACCTTATGCGTAACCTGGGCATTGCCGTCGAGGGCGATGCGACCGATCAGAAGGAGGATACAAAAACGTCAAAGGCGCACAAGCGTCACCAAGATCGGGTCGAAAGAGAGAGGCACAAGCCTCCGTCCTGTTTCCGGGCGAACGCCGAAGGCGGTGAACAGATCCCCCTCGTGGGCAGCCTGCTAGATTGGCGGGCCACCAGGAATCGCACATACGCCAAGTCTGTTGTTGGCACCAGTCAGTACATGGCTCCTGAAGTGATCGAGGGGAAGAGATATGATGGAAGATGCGACTAGTAGAGTATTGGCATCATCCTGTATGAGTGTCTGTACGGGTGCACGCCGTTTCTTGCCGAGGGAGGCCGTCATGACACAAAGAAGAAGATTCTCGTAAGTGGCCGATGCAGGTTTGGGTTGGTCATATCATTGATTGCAGTATCCTAGGCCCACGATGCATCGACCTTTGAGTTCCCGAGGGACATACCCGACGTCAGTTACGAGTGCCAGCACCTCATTTTACGACTACTTCAGAACCAGGAATCCCGTTTGTCATCTCCAAAGTACCACAGTCAAGACCCTCTTGCACCGCAGCACTATGTATTTGCCGAGGATGATGCGATTGACATCAAGAACCACCCCTGGTTTCAGTATCTTGATTGGAACCATCTGCACCGGATGACACCTGGTTTCTTACCACACCTCCATGCCTCGGACGATACACGCTACTTCGACGAGGATGAGCCCGTCTCGGACTGGTCAGAGACGGCGGAGTCGGAAGAACCCGTCATTTCGCCGCACAAGATGAAGCGACTGCTGCGGCGTGAAGGGTTCTGTAGCCGGTCCATTGGCAGCTTCATGGGGTACATTGCCACGCCTTTCGACACGACAAGACTACGGCAGATTGACCAACGAATCGAAGGCAAGGCGCACTTCAGCGAGGAAGACAAACACGTTCTCAAGTATCTTGTGCGAAAGTTTGGATGCAAAGAGCGCAAGGGGGCGCGGGACATTCTTTTGCGAGACCCCACGACGCGGCGAGACGTCATGAACGTGCGAAAGCAGAAGGCTTTTGTCGACTACACGTGGAAAAGGGCGCCGGCGCTGCCTTGCGTGCCGGTTACCGCGGTAGACGATGATGGCGTGTGGTACAATGAGGAGGTGACGGAGACGTCCCAGCAGGAAAGACACGCGTACGAGGCCTATGCCGCACAAAAGACGTACTGGGAACTGGATGGACAGTATGAAATAGGCGGGGGCCCGTACGCCATGG